TTTTGAGCCAGGGCTTGGACCACATGACCTTCCATCCCAAATTATCCCATGATTCTATAGAAACAAAACCTGGCAGAAATGGCCAAGATTATGTGGAACCACGTAATTGCTGGTACAGGTCCCAGAAAGGAAGCTCAGGCCCAATTATACTGAGAAATTAATTAATTAAGGCAGACATAACATAGTTGGATTTTTAGTAAATTGTTGGTTTTGTTCTACCCGTGAACTCAATAGGAAAGCTGGAGTTGCATAGCCTGCATAATAACACAATGAGGTAGAGAAAAATCTATCCAACAGCTAGGAGCCAATGACTTATCATCAATGGCTTTGTGTCAAAAGAGAGAGAAGTATCAATTGGTCTCCCACGGGGATTGATACCCGAGCCAGTATTAATCAATATACTCATTAACAGCCCAGAGAAGAATGTAAATTCAACAGCCACTGGATCTGGAGGAGATTCAAAGGAATTGTGGGGACGTGGCAAAGGAGATAGTGGCATATAAGAGATAGACTTGTAGTCAAACCATGTGTAGATTTCATCAGATGTATGAGCGACATTTAATATTTGTTTATTCAGGGAAGAATTTTGCAGAATATCAACATAAAATACAGTGAGGATAGTGCCTAAACCCATCCCTTCTCAAGGGGCCCAGGTTAATCAACTGCTCATTTCTCACTCCATTGCAGAAGGATGAGGCAAGGTATGAGTTCTGATCCATTAAAAGTCCTGCAAGACCACGTGCTAAATTACCATTTAACAATTTCTTGGAGTCAGGTGTGAAATACTGCAGCCAAATGTCACAAGATATTTTGATTAGAAGAGATTAGGAGGGTCACTAAAATTCTGTAAAGACTGGATTCAATCCTAACCCATGTGCCTCACACTGACTTTGATTGAAGAGATTTAAGTGTGTGGCAGATGAAAATTGCACCAATGATGACAATGGGACAAGATTTGACTTCTTGTGGTCTTGTATGGAAGGTGATACATGCAATTCCTGTATTCCCTCATCTTCTCAAACCCTCCTCATTTTCTGCATCTTCTCAACACTTAGTCCTGGGTTTTGATGTGTGCACTCTCTTTATATGCATGCATATATAAATTTGCTCAAAGATCACGTTGGTGAAGGTGTGAGTGAGCTGATCCAGTTTTTAGCTATTAAGCCCAAACGAATTGCCACATTCACCTAAAGTGTCTCCTGTATCACACAGGTCAGAGCATTTCCCTGCATGGGTATCTCAATTTTTGGTTTTTAGAAAATACAGTAAGAATTTATTCCATCTATCAAGCCCTCATTTGTTGGAGGATGCATGGCCTCCCTTGCCCAAATGTTGATAGTGGGTTTATACATTCTCAATCTGAATTGGCTGTTGTAGCTGGCTTGTATCAGAATTTTTTCCCCTCACACAGCTACCCAGTGTTACCATTTAACTCCATAATGCATGATAACTATCATTTTTATAAAATATGCTTATAAACCAGGAACTTCTATTACTCTCATTTAAACCCATGAAAACTCCCATGGACGTTAGTGCAAGCAGGACCTGATATTTATTCATCGAAAGCTGGAAGCGTGTGATGGAAAATAAGAAATCTTTTAAGCCACAGTTCTTAAGGGTATGTTGTGTGGTGTTTACTGTTCAACACATCAGAGCCTCATGGCCATATTAGTTGTATGAATGGGATAAGATTACTTGGGCAATTTTCCTCTACATTAGAAACAAATCACAGCTAAACCTCTGCTGGCTCCATACATTTTAAATTCCCATTTTCCCTCACTAGAACAGAAAAATAAATACATAGATAGCTGACCAAACTTAGGAAGTGTTCAAAGCAATCAAGTGCAAATTCCCTCCTGTTAAAATGTGAACGAAACAGAAAACCTTTGACTGAGAGGTAACTTCAGAGATAAGTAGTTAGATAGATGCTATAGACAACAAGACACAAACAAATTAAATCTATTCCACTGAAACAGTGATATAATTTCCCTCCAGAGACTAAGACTGACAAAATAAACAAAGAAATAACATGTTTCTTAAGTTGTGAAATGTGACAGTCAATGGCAGATAGCAAAACAAAACTAAAAAGTGCTACAAGTTCTTAGCACAAACATGCTGTTCAGAGACAATGCAGCTCTATTTTCCCTTGGCTTGGACCTCCTAATAATCATAGTTTTTCACAGTTCTCTCCTCTGAGGTTTTTAATCCTCTTTCCAGCATGGTTTTCCAGTTTAAGAAACACACTATGTGTTTCTTTGGAGGGACAGACTGATGTTAGAAATTAGCACATCTGGGAAAGGCAGAGCTGCTGGTCTGGGGCTATGATGACTCTTGTGAAGGCCCAACAAAGCCTGCAGGGATGTGCTTCACTTTGGCTTTGATGGTGGATAAACCTTGGTTTATGATGGTTGCTAAACACTGAGCCCAGGCTGCAGAGCTTTGAGGGCACATTGGTGCCTCCATTTGAGGGCACGTTTGAAGGACATCATTGTTCCATTTCAAGTGCTGTAGATCTGGGGACAAAGAAGGGAGCATTGGTCCACCAGCATCTTGGTCTGCAGGAAATTTTGGGTTTTCAGGCTTTTCACAGTGACAGAAACCTTTGTAAGGTTTCAGGGCAGTTCTGAGAATCCAGAGCCAGGGGTTGTGCCACTTCAGATATCCAAAAGAAGTATCCCCAAGAAGAGAGAGTAGAAGAAACCTCAGGCACTACTGAGATGGCCACACTATAAAAGCAAGCTCTAAAGATAGAAGCAGAGGCATGAACTTGCCAAAGTGCAGTACGGTGCTAATTTTCGTGTTACTCATAGCAATCATTTTTCCACGAACAATCTGTATATGTCACAAATATCTCACTTATTCCCCATCCTTCATATGCACATAATAATCCTTTCACTTTATTTTAGTTGATAGTTTGCCTTTAAAATGTCAGGTCTTTTCCCCTCTAAGTTGTAAATTGCTTTTGTACCCAAAAGTTTGTTACGGGAAATATTTTAGCTGAGAGTCACATGGAGGAAAATGGATCCTTTCACCCCAGCAGATGGTCAGAAACCAGTCCAGGTCTCCAACTTCCACCTCTTAATTCCTGAGGATTGGATTCATCTCCAGCAGTCTAACTTTAAACATCTGATTTAAACAGCTTCCTTCCTCTTTGCAAGAGCAGTTCCAATGGGCACCTCACCTGGCAAATATTCCCCAACACTTTTATTTCAGCCTGAGTTGCCAAGATCCCCCAGGAGGATCCTGTCACACAGGAATAACCCCTGACTCATAGCACTGGACCATGTCTCCTCTCACTACCACTTGAAGAAGAATCTGGTCTCTGAATGCCCAGAAACACAAAGTTGCCCATTACTCTGAAGAAAGTATTTTGGACATAAAAAGAAACACAGAACATAAAATTCGAAGCAATGTAGAAACCATGAGGCTGGTGGAAAGAAGGTGAGAGTGCAGCCAGCAGGTTCACTGCCTGGGTCAGCATTTTGTGGGTGAGTGATGGCCCAGCACACATTCAAAGAGCCAAGGTTGGGCCTTGGAGTGGCATGAAAGATGCTGCATGTTTTCAATCAAAAGTTTTATGATAAAGCTGCATGGTGGTCTCCGGAAAATTATGAAGTTCGAAAGCAGTGGAACTTTCTCCAAGTTTTTGGGGCCATGGCAGTGCCAGCCAGGTGAGCTATCAAAGAACACTCTCTTTTTATGGCCCTCGAGAGAGTGGCTCCTACCCACAATAGTGCAAAACTCACAACAGCCTCTCAGGAAATCATACTCTGCATTCATTTCTCAAGGGTGCTGAGTCCAGGTGGCTTCCAAAAACTTTGGTGGAGCAATTTGAGTTGGCAACATCTTGGGATCCCCTGGTTTATTGGGCTGTTCCTTCTGCCACTGAAGAGCACCCACTGTACATTTAAACTCTTTGAATGTGTTCTGCAGCCTATTTCCATGTTAAGTAGTAATTCTGAATTACATAACGCCACATTTCTCTCCAGCCCTCATCTGATAACAATAACAAGCTCTGTATCTTAGAGACTTGCACATTTATGTTGGCACTGTTGGAAATACTAACACGAGCTTGAATCTCTTCTGTGTTCTCAAAGACCAACAAACACCATTCATTTCCTACAGATTAGTTTCAACCTAACAAGCGTTTTGTTGAGCCCCAAAGAATATTTCATTTATTTAGATAATGCTGATTGCTCACTTATGAGCGGCAGCTCATTCAGTAAGAAACAGACTGTTATAGCTCAGTGTTTTTTAAAAGAATGAGGGGAAAAAAAACCTTCAAACAGCAACTTGAGGGTTGTATTTAATGCTCAAAAGACAGCACGTCATTATGATAAGCGGATCTATTGCTGTGAATAATGGAGAAGGTTTAGTCACACAATGGTGCAGATACACTTAGAATAAATATTTAAAGGCATGTTTTGCAAAGCTGGAGCATGTTCTAACCCCCCATCCAAGGACTCAGTTCCATCACAGCACAGGGTGTATATTGCATCAGTATGCCAGGGGCAGCCATGCAGAAGGGCTTTTGCAGAATATTTGAGATTTATGCAATAAAATGGGCAGAATTACTCCCTGATGGAAGCAGAAAAGGGACTGTTCTGCATGGCCACAATCCCACCACTTTCCTCCCCTCTCCACCTCTCCATCCTGCCCACACACTCACCTTTTGGGCCAGGTAAGCAATGCCCACGCTGAGAGCGCGGCGTGAAGCCAGGCTGTGGTGTGCCAGGGGCAGCGTGCTTCCCTCTGGGGAGAAATGCTCAGCCAACTTGGAGGGGAGGATTCAGTGAGAGGAGAAAAAGAGGCATGTACTGCACTTTCTCTGCTCCAGCAACTCCTGTGCCAGATGTATTGGTCACGGGCCAGTCAGCTGCACTGAGCTGATGGGACTGAGCAGCCAGGGAGGAGCTGCTGGGAGCGTGGGGCTGCCAGCACTGCAAAGATGAGGAGTGTTATGGGCTCCAAAGGCCTGTTAGCCCCCAGTAAATCTGTCTGGCATTTACCCCTTCCTTCTGCATCTTGAGTTTCCTCTTGCTGGAGGCTTGGGTACTCAGCTACAATAACAGCACTGGGCTCCTAGAAAATACAAACGTTTTCCACAGAGCCCTTATTACAATGGCACTTAACAATCCATAAGGTTTAGTGAACACACAAGCTCATTTTGCTTGGAAAAATGGAAGTGAAAACTGGACTCAAATGGAAACCTCAAAGGGAAATTTATTTATGAGTGGGGAAAGCATAGGTGCAAAGGAGAGGACCTGGATTAGCATACTACTGGGAACAGAGAGTGACCACAAAGGAAAAGAAAGAGAATTAAAAACATAATTGAGAAAAACAGAACTTAAAAAAAACCTGCAGTGAGAGAATCTATCCTATTTTCTGCAAGGTCTCCTCTTTTAAAGGGTGGCATTACTATTGCTAGCACAAGGAATAGGTTTCCTCTGAGATAGAAAAACATTTGAATTTTTTCCCCCCTTTTTATTAATCATTGGTGGTGTGGGGAGGGGGAAACCCCCTGAGAATTCAATGACAGGAAAAAAAAATGGTTTGTGAAGTCAGACTCAGTTTGTGTACCTAAAAAGCAATATGATTGATTTGCAAAAACCTCTAGCTTCACAAAGTTCTTCCATCTCTAATGAGAACTAACAGCATTTTTGTCCAGCTTCCCTGCAAAATATTGTTCTAGTGCTGAATCCATCAACAAAAATGGCTAAGCATTAGCTTTCTTAATGGCCTCTGGTTTCACTTGCCAGCAGCTGCAGATGGAGCAGGGTAAGCAGGGCTGGGGCTGCATCGTGCTGGTCTGCTGCAGATCTCAGCTGCAATTTGCTGGTTTAGAAGGAAGCCCAAATAGTGGCTTTTTAGTGCATTCTGAACACAACTCTGCTTTAAAATCACAGAATGTTTCTAGCTCTGGGAAGGCACAGGAAGCTAATGGTGGCACAAGTTAATTCATGTAAATTGTTACACGGGTGAATTTTGTGGTGAAGTCGAATAAACAAAGGAAGGAAAAAGTAAAGGAGGAGGCTGTGGTAAGAGGCTTCATAATGACAGCAGAAGTTGTGACTTTTTTTTGCTTATTACCTCTCCTTTGAGTGTGTGATTACAAAAGACCCTCACCTCTACCTGCCTGCAAGAAAATACAACCTTCTCCTTCTCTCCCTGCTGCCAGAGTACCTGCAGAGCACACGAGATATCTCAATGCAAAAGTCCCTTTTAGTGAGGAACCTAAACAGGCTGCAATGTCTGTATTTTGTATTTGTTATGATCTGTGCTGCACCTTCTTGGTCATCAGCCTCCTGGTCTGCACACCCTCTCACCATCTCCTCCAAGGGAACTGTGATACAGCTCTAGTCAGCTCCCAGCCAAGCTTCCAGGTGAATTGGTAATTTCCATAACTTTTAACCCCAGAAGGAACAGTCTGGTAAACGAACCCTGATTTTGCAAGGCTTTTTCTGCTCTACTTTGAAAAATCCTGAGATTTAGACTCAAGTTTGAAGAAGAAGAAAAAGCCCAGGGATTGATCTGAATTTAGGTGAACTTCTGGGACCATGAGAAATCTTCAAGTTCAGTCACAGACCCAAATAATTTTCCATTTCACTAAATAAATTTGACTAACTAAATAAGCTGGACTTCCCCTCACTGTGCATAAGGACTCAATTTTTTTTCCCAAAACTACATATTATGAAGGGGACTTCTGTGCAGCTGAGACCAACAGGATGAATTTAATCTGAGAGCAAGGAAGAGTAATTCTAATATCTACTAGTAAACATAGAGATTGCTAAATATCCCTCTGGAGCTAATATCTAAACATCCTTCTTTCACCTTTTTCAGGATTTCAGAACAAGAAATCAAAATAGTAACCTCCACAGAATTTACCTGCTTATTATGAGAGAAAAGTGTTTTAGGAAAGAAAATGTTTTTGCACACTCTCCAACTTCTGGATTATGAAACAAAATAGGAGGGAGAGAAACATATTTGAAATGTCTGTTATATATGGTTCATTGTAGTGCCAGTCCTTTCAGAAGGCACTCATGTTTTGCAGTCTTCATTAGTGTGCTCAGATATTTTTGCACTCCTTGAGGAACCTCACACTGGTGCAGTCACAAAAAGCCACCTTTCAGCAGTGAAGGACCCCAGAAAGCAACGGGCTTGTAAGAAATGGAAGTGGATTTATGCTACAGACACGGGACATGCAGCAATTGGCTCCGTGCCTGTGTTACACAAATAAAAGACAATAGATGGTACAAGATCAGAGTTCCCAACCATTATAGAACTTAAATTCATGCCAACATACTGCATTCATTGGGAACCTAAGCTGAATAGCACATCTTAGAAAGTTTTGCTGTGCCAGAGAGGATTTAGGAATTTGCAGCAGGTTTGGTGTGGGCAGCAGTGGGGATGTGATGGAAAGGATTTGGCATCACTCATGGGGATGAACACTGTGCCTTCTGCAAGTAAATTTCACACTTGTGACACCAATAGCACCCCTGTGCCTTTGACACGAGCTTTTGAACTCCTCTAACACCAAACAATTAATCAAGGAGAAGAATACACACATATCTCCTCATTTCTGCTATTAAAGTATGCAGATATGTTTGTAGCTTGTCATACTAAGTCAAAAGTGAAGTATGTTTTCAAAGCTCAGCAGAACAACATCATTAACAAAAAGCTGTATGGAAGTTTTCAAATGCATATAAAAGAGTTGACAATTGTTGAAAAAAGCAATTGAAAGCAAAAATCCAAGAAACAATTTATCAGTAATCAAAGAGAGCATTATTATTGTGTCACTGACATCTCCTGCACTAAATTTGTTTCTCTAGCAGTTATGACATGCCAAACTTAATATACCAATATTACTTTCATTATTAGGTGACTACCAAGGTAGAAAACATTGAAGTCTTGACAACATAGTGTGGGACACACCTCAACAATAAAATATTGCATTTTGGTATTTTATGTATCATATAAAATGTGTAGATCATTTGAATGTCATATCTCTTGACTTTTATTTTTTCAAGTTAAATCCCTGAAGAATTTTTAAGACTGTGATGAATGTACTTTTGTCCCTGTTGTCTGTGTAAATCCACATTGGTAAAAATAGCATCTGTTCTAGAGAAAGAACTCTACATGCCCACAAAGTTTTAGAACAGATAGGAACAGGAGGTAAAACTTGTTCATTCGTTATTTGAAGTGTTCCTTCTCAGCCCCCAATTGTTAAATATCGAACTGAAGGAGTTCCTGAAACATTGATAAGAAGATGAAAATCATTCCCTAATTTACAGTGAATTGTGCTAAAATCCACGTTGATAGACAGTTTGCTGTAGACCTTCATAGTTGCTGAAATGTATGCCTAGTGGTTGGTACCTATCAAAAGGAAAATTAGAATAAATGAATATTTAAATATTTAAATTTCCTATGATATGCTTGAAGTGCAGTTTCAAAGCATTACCATCAGATTTGAGAAACCAGGGCTCAATTGGTTACAAACCCCACGCTGGAGAGCTTTGCTGTGCCATGCTGTGGCTGTAACCAAATCCAGCCTGCACTGGCCCTTCTCCCCTTCTGAGCATCCCTTGGGCTGACCTTTGGCACCCACGGTGGAGAGGAGACAAAGGGAAGCAGTCCTGAGATGTAGAGAAGAAAGGGGACATTGAATAAGCTGCAAAGTTTTCTGCAGAGGGCTGGACATCAGAGGCATGTGCAAGAATCAATGCTTTCTTTAATAAAGATATATTTTTTCATAGAGTTAACTAAATTTATCAACAAATGTGCATGTCTCATTGTTTGCATGTATTTTCCACATCCACCCATACACATGAGTTGATATCTCAGTTTGAAGGGATTTTTGCATTGAATTAAAAGGCTCTGTATAACCAGGCTCTGTTCTGTGAAACAAAACTAAACAAGGTGTACTCATGATCTGGCAACCTGAGCGTGGCAGAATCTAAACATTCACCTAAGTTTAACAATTCCTTAATATCATGACAAATTAGATTAGCTGCCATGAAGTTTCCTTAGGCTCCATTAAAAAAAAAAAAAGGAAAAAGAGAAAAAAAAAGAATGAGAGTAATCATCAGCAAAGGGAAGAAATCAAATTTTGCACTGAATACTTTTCACTGCTTATCTTACAAAATTATTATTATTTGCCTTCCTAGTTACTTGTATTCATCAGGGTGATGTGTGCAGATTGTGAGAATGCCAAATATTCTCCAAAAACTGATGAGTAAGCAAAAAAAGAGCTGCTCTTTAAACCCTTCACAGTTTATAGCCACATTTACATAACATTAAATAAGTCAACAAAGGCATCATTAGCTCCCATTAAAATATGAGCGAAGAAATTTAAATGAACAAGAGAAGCTAATTGGTAAGTAATGTTGTGTATCAAAAATTATGACTATAAGATTCCAAAGTTAATGAGAAGCCCTACAACTGTGTTTACTAAATGTTTAAAAATTAAATTAAAGGTGAACATGGAGAGCCAGAAAAGTTTTCTTGCAGTTGTTTGGGCTGAGTGAGAACTGTGAAGGTTGATGGTGCTCCTTCACACAGTCTGAGTCTCTGGAGTCACCAGCCCATAATTTGATCCCTGGGCATCAGGCAGATGAGGCCTCTTGTTGCCCAAAACCACAATTTTCCAATGAAACAGCCCAAACAGATCAGGGACAAGCCTGCTCTGAGTCTGCTGCTGCAGGTGTAGAAAGCTGATTAAACCACCCATCCATCCCATCTCACCTGGCCCTTGGGTTTGCCCAGGTGTTTCAGGGGGAGGTAGCAGAAGTGACCATTCCCTGTGCAGTCAGAAAGGAACCAGAGCTGGGGCTGACCCCCCCCGAGCCAGCTCTGCCATTGTCACATCCCCCCCTGGCCAACAGGAGCCAAGTCCTTTTCTGCTGCTCTTGGCCATATCCATGGAACAGCCAGGGCTCTTCCAGCCTTTTCTGAGCCCCACACCACCAGCAGCTCACACCTGCTGGCCACAGTTTCCTTTCACTGGTCTTTAGTCCATGAATCTCCATCATTTAGATGCTGAAAACCAGAACTGAGTCCACTTTTATCTCTATCCCTACTAAAAT